CGGCTTCCGCATGGGGGTCGTCTCCAACTTCGATAACCGCCTGGAAACCATCCTCAAACAGTGCAACCTGCGGCACCACTTCGAATTCGTCCTCACCTCCGAGGAGGCGGGTTTCGCCAAGCCGGACAGGAGGATCTTCGAGAAAGCCCTACACCGTGCCGGGGTCTCACCAGAGCAGGCGGCTCACATCGGGGACGACTACACGCGGGATTACAGGGCAGCGCAAGCCGTGGGCATGCACAGCTTTCTGCTGCGGGCTGCTGGGCACGGCGAGGAGCCGGAGGTGCCCCCCGAGCATGTCCTGCCCACGCTCAGCCACCTCCTGGCTCTTATTGAGAAGGGATAGCTGCGTTTTGGGGAGGACTAGTGCTGCTGCTGAGCAGTGAACCGGTCCTAGCAGGGGATTTCTTGCTGCTGGTTGGGCAGGGAAAAGAAGCGAGAGCTTCTGGAGCGGCTGCCTGCCAGAGCGGGAGGGGTGTTTGTACAATAAAATGTATTTGACACAATCAGCCTTGCTGGTGATTTACTCCATCTCTCTAAAAACACTATGGAAGAGGGCAACGGTGGCATCTTCCCCCAAAAGAGCTGGGGACAGGGTCAAGCTGTGCTCCCAAAGGCTCATTCTGCAGGGAGGGACAGACAGCATGCCCCTCTTCCCGGCAGCGGTGGCTGGGAGGCAGTTGCAGCCCTCCTGCAAAACAGTCTGGAACTGGGGAATTTCACTTAATTTAATGTATTGCAAATTAACATAAACTGGGCATTACTGATTTGGGTATCCAGAAATAGAGATATTTTAAACAGCTCAGGAACCACCTTTCCTGCTCTTCTCCCTGGCTCAACTTCAGCCCAGCCCCTCTCCGTCCTCCCTGCCCGGCTGCAGCTCCCCGGGGCTTTGGCGAGCCCAGGAGCAGCTCAGCTTTCTGCGGCTCTTTGCTTCTCACTCCTCTGCGCCGGCACAGGCTCCTCCACGGGCCACAGCCCCTCCGGGGTGCCCCTGCCCTGGTGTGGGTCCCCCACGAGTGACAGCCCCCCATGGGGCAGCTCCTCCCAAAAATACGTCTCCAGCCATGTCCCAACGATGTCCCTTTCCAAGGGCCTTGTCCCCACCATTTCTCCAAACATATTTCCCATTTTCTCAAGCCCACCACCAGGCTCGGAAGCTGCCCCTGACTGGAGAGGAATTACAGGATGCACCCGAAGGCGGCTGGCTGAGCCAGGCAGTACCGAGCCCTCGCCCTGGCAGGGCTGACGCCGGATGGGGTACAGGGGGGATACCCTCCAGGAGGAGGGGAGAGCCGCAGTGGAACACGTGAAGAACAGAGGTAGCGTGAAGGCAGGTGTTGTCCGAACGCCGCTGTACACGAGGTGGGAGCCCTGCCTGGGCTCCCTTCCCCCACGATGGCACTGTATAGCGTATAAACCATCACCATGTACACAGCTGTGTGTTCACCCCCGCTCACTGGACGAGCGAGATGCTCTGGTGCGCCACGGCAAAGACAGGATAAAGGGGCTCCATGAAAGCCTCCCGGTGGGAGAAGAGGATGGCGCAGGAATCGGGGTCATAGAACAGCACCTCCCCTCCCGCAAAGTCCACCAGCACCCCCAGCTCGGCCGGAGCCTTGAGGAGCTCCACGGCCCGCGGCTGCCCGCCGTGCAGGAACCGGAACTCCTTGTCATAGCGCGAGAAGACCCAGGAGGCGGTGTTGAAGCCCAGGCGGGCTTCGTTGCCGGAGCCTTTCCGCGGCAGGGAGCTGTAGCACACCCCCAGCTTGTAGGCGCAGCTCTTCTCCACGCGGATCCTCCACGCGCAGACTCCCGAGTGGAAAGCCGCCGTAGCCAAAGCGTTGGGCCAGTGGTCAAACCGCTCAGGGCCATCCAAGTCCACTTTTGCTTTCTTGGGGCTGAAGGTCAGGGTTTTCTTGTCTTCTGACAGGCTGAGGTGGGGGCTGATGGTTTTCTCATCGATGTGAATCT